TGGGCTCAAACCCAATAGGGATGGCCTCCAACCTAATAGCGATGGCCTCCAACCTAATAGCGATGGCCCACAACCTACGAGCGATGGCCTCCAACCTACCAGCGATGGCCTCCAACCTACTAGCGATGGCCTCCAACCTAGTGGGGATGGCCTCCAACCTAATGCGGAAAGAGCCTAATAGTTGTATTCAACTCGTTTGTTATTTTTGCATGCTTCGCTCACTTCGCTCAGCCTCGTGACTTGCTCCGTCTCGCAATGAGAGGTTCAAAGGGCCGGCAAGGCTGCAGAGGCACACGATTTGTGAATCGGATAGGTCGTGTCAGCGAATATATGCACCTGTAGCCTGTGGTGCACTTGTTCACCCTCAAGCTTCTCAACGTCATCTCACATGTTTCTATGTGTGCATTCTTAACTTTCAGGCAAAGAAGCCCTGGGGAATGACCGGAGTGATGAGCGGATTCGTCCAATCCTTGGCTGCTGAGCGGGAAGCTGCAGAGACTGAGGCTTCTTCCTTTACTGTTTCCTCACAGAGACTGAGTTCTTTCTTTAAGACTGATTTCGGTTTGGAAGCTTCCTTGGGCAGAGCCGCACGGAGACTGCCAAGGCTGTGGTGAGCCTTTTGACTATGCGACAGCGTTGCTCGCCTGTGTAGACGGTGCACAAAGAAATGAATGCCTTGCTTCCAATAGCTCTACAAACCCTAAAACCCTATAGCTTTGCATAGTGGTGTGCCCTGTCGAACATTGCCGTTTAGGGTTTGGTGTTGGGCTGGTGCTTGGTCGACTTGGGCAGCTTGCTGTTTTAACAATTAGAGAACAAGTTTGGGACAAGTTTCGAGCCCAGGTGTTCGATTAGCTGCAAGAGCGCCGAGCAATGCATCCAAAAAATCCAGGCTTCGGCAGAAGAGAGGGAGTAAGCGAGAGTGAACTAGTGAGCACAGGTAGTATGGGTGAAGCACTGGAAGCGAGAACTCCAAGTAAGGTCTACAAAGGCAGTGCTAAGCAAGGTCTTACCTACTAGCGATGGCCTCCAACCTACTAGCGACAGTCCTTATGATAAAACATGATAAATGTCTTCTGCATGTTTGTCTAGGTGGTCAGTTGTCATTGTTTGACCACTGGTTCGAGCTTGCCACTTGTTCCGCCTGTTCTTCCTCAGGTTGCAGGGTGGAGCAGCTCGAGTCTCGGAGAAACAAATGAAACTCTCTGAGTCTCTGAGTGCTCCACTAACCTGCAAGCGATGGCCTCCAACCTAGAAGCGTTCTTGCTCCCTTCGTAGCGATGCCAGGAGCCCCTAGTAGCTTCTTGTTCCTAGTAGTAAGGCCAGGAGCCCCTAGTAGCGTCCTTGCTCCTAATAGCGATGGCCTCCAACCTAAGCCTAAGCCTCTGCTCCACTTTGGAACTTTCTTGTGTTACGAAAGCCGCCTGTTCTTAGATGATGACTGTGCGGAAGAGCAAGAACAATACCCACGTAGCCCTCACGGACAAGAAAGGAGAGGCAAGGAAAGGACAATAAAGGAGAATGTATCAGTCTTGTTTGTCTTGCAGGTGGTTTGGGCAACGACCGAGAAGCGGTATGGCTGCTTCCCAAGAATTTTGCTTTTGCTTTTTCGGTTCTTTTGCTTATGAAAACTACTCCCCTCTTCAGAGAGCTAATTCGTGCTCTCTTGTGCCTCTTGTGCTGCTTTGTTGCTGTTAGCTTCTCCTTGCAGTATCACTTGATGCCATCTCCCATTCTTTGACAGTGTTTGGTTTATCATGTTTAATCTCTGTACTCCAGTTATCGTCTGCTCAGCCATTTGATGTGAACCCATCTCGAGAGTGGTCTCGTTGTTTGCTCCACCTCATCTTAATTGAGCTGATATGCTGCATGGCCTCATCTAAACTCTCCTGTGTCTCGACTGCTTTGCTATCTACCATGCCTCATCTCACCTCCCACCCGGCTGCAAGACTATCCTGGACACCAGATCTGAGATAGTCAAGTATACTGACTTGCATTTCTGTCGAGCTGAGAGCAAAGATTCTCGAAGATGCTGTGTTTTGGCTACTGGTAGTAGGTTGGAGGCCATCGCTAGGTTCTTCATGGCAGTTCCAGGCACACAGGAAGTGTTGAGTTCATCAACCCAGGGTTGAGAACGGGAAGATGATCGGCTGACAAGCACGAATTCTTTTTCTGTAGTAACAAGAAGCTACTAGGAACAAGTGCATCGCTTCTAGTGACAAGCATGACAGCCGGATGTTCAACCTGTTGGACGTCTCAGGAGTGTTGCTTCCGAATGCCAACCGTGCAGTCGAGGCAAACTGAAGTCCAGACATGGTTGTGTGCTGATTTCTGTCAACGAATTTTTTAATCGTCCTCCTTTGACTCCTTTGCTCAGAAAATCGTCTTCCTTTGGCTGAATGTTTTGCCGTGTTGTCTTTTTGCTGATGGCCTGATGCCGTGTGCTGCTTGAGGCCGCTTTGTATGTTGCAGACAAGCTAGGAGTGGAAAGCATTGTGCTTCAGATCAAGGGGGTGTCACCTACTCAGAGCCAGAGCAGCGGAGTTGTGTTCTTTTCTTTGCAGGAGCAGGGGGCATCGCTACTAGGAGCGCTCGGACGCTACTAGGGGCTCCTGGCCTTACTACTAGTAACAAGAAGCTACTAGGAGCAAGAACGCTACTAGCCATTGCTATTGTGTTGCACACCGCTTTCTATCGTGCTCCTATTTGCTGCGCTGCTGCGAGGCCAAGTTCTTTGGGAGGTATCATTGCCACAGTGCGGAACAGTGGCATCAAGGCAGAGAGAACAAGATAGATTGGTTTTGGCTTTGCTGTGGAGATAGAACCAACACAAAGAACACGACCATTTTCAAGTCTTCCTGATTTCATCGTTCTCACAACGGACGATTTGAGAATCAGCGATGTTCGCTTTGTTTTTTTGTCCAGGTGAGCCAGGCTTACGTGCGGAACAATATTGCGTATGGAGGTTGGATGGAAAGGTTTCTTAAACTAGGAACAAGAGGACGCTACTAGGGGCTCCTGGCATCGCTACTAGGAGCAAGAGGACGCTACTGGGGGCTCCTGGCCGTACTACCAGGAACAAGAAGCTACTAGTGATACTGCTTGAGCGACACAACAAGCTTGCCCTTGGCAGGAAGCCGCCCGAGATTGGCACGTCGTGTTTGAGATTTGCAATTTTCATTGCCCTGAAAAAGGTGCTCAAGTCACTTGTTCCTACTAGCTTCTTGTTACTACTAGTAAGGCACTTGTTACTAGAAGCGATGCACTTGTT